CACACACATCTTCTTTCTATATAAATTACTAGCACTTCCATTGACAATCAAGAAAATTAAGCTATGGCTAGTCAAAAGTTGTACACTTTTAGAGAGTTCATAGCAGAGTTAGATTCTCAAGAAAAAAAGTTCTTTAAGAAACTAACCTCTAATGATAAATTTGATGATAATCCATGTTTGGCAAATGAGATGTTTGGTGAAGATGGCTTTGTTCCTCTTTTGCCAAATCCTCAAAATGACAAGGAAAATGGTGAGATGAAAATGTTGGTTGATGAGAAATCTTTAAACCCTGAAAGGTAATCACTAACTTGTTTTAGAGATTAACCGTTCTCTCTGTACTATTTTATATGTTACTTTTTTCTTTTTAATCTGTATAAAAAAGAATGACACTTTTTCATGTTTGAAAACTCTGTACCTTTAAACTTTCTTTCTTTCTTTCGCCGGCCATATAAATGAAATAAAGGAGTAATTTTCGTGGATTTTTAACATCATTTATCTATTATTTTCCTATGTTTGTATAAAATTAAGCTAGTGATTTGCTCTTGATGCAGGAAAAGAAAGTACAGAGAATTTGATAATGAAGGTGATGATAAGATTCAAGATTTGGCAGTGGAAAATGAAACAAGAAAGTCACATGGGGAAGAAAACTGATAATGAAAAATGAAGAAAGGGATTATATTGAATTTGCCCAAGTGTTTAGGTTTTCCAGTTTGTTTATGAAAACCTTATTCTTGTCTATTAGTATTGTTGGAAAAAATTACTACTAATAGGCTTCTAGATCTCTATGAACAAATTAAATGTACCCTTTTACAGTTTCAGTCTAAAGATTTAGAAAGCATTAATTCAGTCTCTTAATTATTACCGTTGCTCCTCAATTTCTTAATTTGTTACAATAATTTTAAGTTATAGTTTTAGAAGATGTGTCAATGGATTTACAAAGAAACATAGGATTGAATATGTTTCAGCAATACTTAATTTCAAACTGAAAAACAAATTAAAATGAGCAGTAAATTATTCTCTTAATTAATCTTCTGATATTAATGAACTGAATCTCAGAAGGGAATTACTGAAATCTATCGATTAAGTAGCCATTTAACATCTCTGATTCGCTCACATTTTCCTTTTTTTCTCGGGTAATTAAAACCGTAAACCTAAGTTCGCTAAGTGTTTGCTCAAATACCGCCATATAATAAAAGGTGTTACGTGAATACATGTTGGAGGGAGAGAATTACGTACGATACTATTATTATAACAAATATGTTGAAGGGAGAGAATGATGTACGATACTACTATTATAACAAATATAATGTACTTCACGATTGAACTAGTTGACTCACGACCCGAAATTTCTACCGTCGGGATCGTGATGGCGCCTAACATTTCACTTGCTATGCAAACCAATGTTAGAGAATCACTAAACCAATCCTTATTCCATTAAGTAAATAACAACAATTAGCTAAGATGAAATATAATGAGTGCGGAATAATATAAAAACTGTATTAATTTCTACCACCCGGATCTGGAGTCACAATTCACGAAAATTCTAGAATTCACTACAAGTAATAGTCTGAAAGAAATACAACTGTTTGAATGAAAGAAACAGTAGAACAGAAAAGATACACGGGGACTTCAAGATCTGTGAATGCCGACAGATCTACCTTGAGTCTCTCGATAGCGGTCCAATAGCAAAATCTCGATCAACCCGAACCGGTACCAAAATCTGCACAGAAAGTGCAGAGTGCAGTATCAGTACAACCGACCCCATATACTGGTAAGTGTCGAGCCTAATCTCGACGAAGTAGTGACGAGGCTAAGGCAAGGCACCTATAAATTAACCTGCATAATTTAACAGTGTATATACAAATAACAGTAATGAAGAGCTAGACAGAAAATATCGGGAGGGGGAAACATGCTGGGGAAAATACGAGATAAGGAACTACAACAGAATGATAACTGGAACAACCAATATACTATGAATCAACAGAAACAACGAATACAGTAAAGGAAAAATACACAGCATTATCCTTCGTACTTTTACTCTCAATCTCACCATAAAAATAATAGAAACGTCACGACATCTCCCTCCGTGCATTAACTCTCATATCATGGCACGACATCACCCTTCGTGCATTAACACTCACAATATGGCACAACATCACCATTCGCGCTTTTACACTCACAATATGGCACGGCATCACCCTTCGTGCTTTTGCACTCACAACATGGCACGACATCACCCTTCGTGCATTAACTCTCATATCATGGCACGACATCACCCTTCGTGCATTAACACTCTCCCTTACCATAATGCAATGAATAAATAACAACAGAAAGATAGAATAACAAGTACAAACTTTACTTCAACATTTGATTCCACAATATCAATCTCAACTTCGAAATAAATACTCAATTATCACCAGAAGATCCGTAAACATGATAAGAACGATTAATTTAACAACATTAGACTAAACCTGTAGCAATTAGGCATGGAAAAGAGACAATATAAGAAAAACGGGAGAAACATGGAAAACAGGTAAATTGGCGGCGCATAAGTACTCGTCACCTAACATATACGCCGCTCACATGAATTTCACATAGCAAATAATCTGAGGTTCCTAATTCCCTCAAGTCAGGGTTAACCACAACACTTACCTCGTTTCGAAGGCCACTCAATACTCAATCACAACTTTTCCTCTAGAATTCACCTCCAAACCACTCGTACCTATTAAAAAATAATTCAATAATATCAAATATTGCGAACGGAATTAATTACATTGCATAAATTTAGATTTTTTAAATTTTTTTCCAAAAAGTCGAAAATGACCCCGGACCTGCTTGGTCAAAACCCGAGGTTCGGACCAAAATTCATTTACCCATTCACCCCCGAGCCCGGATATATAATTAGTTTTGGAATCTGACCTCAAATTGAGGTCTAAATTCCCAAATTTTTGAAATCCTTAGTTTCTACCCAAACCCCTAATTCTACCATGAAAACTCTAGATTTTAGGTTGAAAATTTCTGAAATGAAATGGGTAATTGAAAGAAAATAGTTTAGAATCACTTACCAACACTTTAGGGAAGAAAATGACTCTTGAAAATCGTCTCTAACCGTTTGGTTCTTGAAAATATTGAAAAAATGGCTTAAGTCCCGTTTTGATTCTGTTTTATACACTGGGCGATAGTGTGCATCGCGTTCGCGAGGCTATTGTCGCGTTCGCGAAGAGCATAGCTGCCAAGCCTTCGCGTTCGCAAGACCTTGCTCGTGTTCGCGAAGGTTACTCTCCCCTGGACTTCGCGTTCGCGAGACATTGCTCGCGTTCGCGATGAAGGAAAGACCAACCCTCCCCTAGGTCCCCAAGTGTTTCGCGTTCGCGATGAGCATGTCGCGTTCGCGAAGGGTAAATCCCCCATCACTCCGCGTTCGCGACCAGGCCTTCGCGTTCGCGAAGAAGAAATCTCAGCCTAACCAGTTTACTCTTCGCGTTCGCGATAGTACATTCGCGAACGCGAAGAAGGACATGCCAGAACACCTGCTGCAGCAAAATACCAGATTTTTCCAAGTCCAAAACATCCCGTGGCCTATCCGAAACTCACCCGAACCCTCGGGGCTCCAAACCAAACATGCACACAAGTTTAAAAATATCATACGGACTTGCTCGCGCGATCAAATCGCCAAAATAACACCTAGAACTATGAATTTAGCACCAAATCAAATGAAATTTTCAAGTACACTTTAAAATTTCTATCTTCACCACCGGACGTCCGAATCACGTCAAACCAGCTCCGTTTCTCACCAAATTTCACAGATAAGTCATAAATATTATATTGGACCTATACCGGGCTCCGAAACCAAAATACGGACCCGGTATCAACAAGGTCAAACATCAACCAATTCTTAAAAATAATTAATTTTCAGACTTTTAATTTTCATCAAAAATTCATAAGTCGAGTTAGGGACCTCTGAATTCGATTCCGGGCATATGTCCAGGACCCATAATTCGATACGGATCCACCAGGACCGTCAAAATACGGATCCGGGCTCATTTATCAAAAATATTAACCGAAGTCAACTAAAATCAACTTTTAAGGCAAAAATTCTTATTTTCATCAATTTTCAACATAAAAGTTTTTCGAAAACACGCCTGGACTGCGCACGTAAATCGAAAAAGGTAAAAAAAGAAGAAAAAATTTTAAGGCTTAAGAGCATAAATTCGAGTTCTAAAACATAAGATGACCTTTTGGGACATTATATTGACTGACTAGCATGACTAGCAAAAATTATAAGAGAAGAGTTTGATCTTGACCCAAATAAAAAATATTAATTAACCGCTTCATACATATACTAGGATGTGAATTTATAAGAGGCCACTATAAAAAGAATTTAGAATTTAACTGCCGAATCACCTTTTAAATTAAGCTTATGGGGGACAAAATTGTGATTCCCCCAAATATTGTTCCAAACTCCAAACAGCTCAAAACGGACAATACCTTTGCAATTAAATTTGACAGTAACATTTGAAGTCGATTATATAAATCCTTATTATCTCTCCATATTGTTTCAATTAAACCTGTCCTCATTCTCATATACCAAAATTGAGGTTACATTTGATCAACACCTCCTAGATAACAAGTTAGTGAAAACGTCAATAAAATTTGACACGTAACGCAGACCTTTATTTTCTACTAAATTTTCATTAGAAAAGCTCCATCGATAGCTTATCAAGAGATTCAGAGAAATGTTCCAGTTGGAATTATAAGGAATAGAAAATTAGAAGAGAAAGTGGATTTAGAATATATATATATATATATATATATATATAATCAAATACCACCGTATTTGATGATTCCTATAGAAATTTTATTATGGTCTTAATTAGTTAGAGTCCAGAAGATGCAAGCCTTATGGTTACTTAATTTCTAAAACTTAAAATCCACATATGAGTGATTGCATCTCATAAATTTCTTTTGATCTCTGTATGTGACTATCTCGCTTAAGCTTATCATTTTCACCTAAGCTTAAGTTGTTAAAAATAATATATTTTTTTTATTAATTTATTTTATCTTTATATATTAAATATATTTTATATTTAGATTCTCACCGTGAAGTCCCATATAAGGGGACAAAATGTTCTTTAACAAAGACAAACTTCATACTCAAGGTTCGACTCTTGAGTATCGGCTTTAGAGATGTTTGATTAATAATAAAAGAATACTTACCACTTCATTCACACCTTTTATTGCTGCATAGCTTATCTCTTGTTTACATCGAAGATGCTCAACATCAAAAGCGACAGAATTTAAAGCTTATGAGTTGTGAATTTGCTATCAAGTTCATATAACTTATTTTAATTATTGAGTTTTACGATTAAATATTTATACATATTTAATAAATTTTTTAATACAATACATAATCTAAACAAAAGCTATTAGTTTTTGCTCGTAATACTCTAATTCCGCTGCTGATCAGCGTGTCACCGCTAAACTCTTTGGGTAGGTTTTGTAGTTTTGTGCATGCAGTTTCTAAGGAAAAGAAGAGTAATAGCTCTCATTTGTCTTTACGTGATTATTACACTTGATTCCAATACTCCAACTGTGTTTTCGGTTACAACACTTAAAAGTAATTTGACTAGCAAGGTTTGCTTTTGGCATTTAGCAATAATCGTAAAAACAAAGTTTAATTATTTCAAGCCACTGTAACTCTTTCTCAACTTTGAAAAAGTTACCATGGGTGCCACTCTTCATCAATTCTCACTTAAATCGCTTGATTTAATTAAAAAGGAAATTTTCAATGAAGTTTAAGAATTTATTTGATTTTACTTATATACCAAAATTAGTGTGCTAATTATAGAGGTGCAAGCACCATATAGAGATAGCATATTTCCTCTCAGAGGCGGAGCCAGGGTTTAAAATATATGAGTTCGGGATTCCAGATCTTTTAAAGTTAATGAGTTCTAAATTAATAATTTGTACATATTTAATAAATTTCTTAAAACAATACATGATTTGGACCAAAGTTGTTGTGTTCGGCCGAACCTGTATGTTCTACACTCCCTCCACCCCTATTTCCTCTTTGTACATTAAAAAAAGTTAAAGCTTTTCCCAGCTGATACAACTTTATAGTTTGTACATTTTATTCAAAAAATATGCATAGATGAATATATTCATGTCTCCAAGTTGAAAAAAAAGCTCTAATAGCAAAGAGTAAACAATATATATATATATATATATATATTAGTTATCTTTTTTTATTTTTATTATTTTTGGGCTAAATCGAATCTTTTAATAAAAATTTAACAAAGTCCTCGATATGTTCATGTTTGTAAGTTGAAATCAAGAAGACAGTAAAAATACTAAGAGCAAAGAATAAGCAACATATAACCTGGGAGGATTGTGGTAGATCAGTAAATACTTCTTTATCCTTAATTAAAAGTCTCGAGACTGAATATGAAATTACCTTTATTATAAAACACTTTAACCCCTAATATGAAATTTTTCGACGTAAATTCGAATTTAATTGATCCCCTATGTAGATAGACACCGAGTAGGAAACCAAAAAATTTAAAAAATTAAACAACATATAGTACTAGCTTTTTTCTTTTTGAGTGATTGAGTTAAATCTTTTAACTAAAGTTTAACAAATTTAAATCCATCCGTTACTAGTTTTTTCTCTCGTGTAAACCTCATTAGGGATGATATCATCACTCACTTATTACTCTTCTCCTCAACAAGAAATGTGAATGAAAAAAAGAGAAAACTCCACTCAACTAATTTTAACCTCATCTGCTCCATATGGTCTATATATATAGCACTAAAAATCAACTCCATTTTCTCCACCACTACACCTCTAATATCTCATTACTTCTGCATTATAAATCAAACAATTATGAAAAATCAGTTTCATGAATTAACACTTGAGGAATTTCTTGAAGAGATAACTAAACAAGAACAAAGTTTTTTCAAGAAAAAGGCTGCTGAGTCTGAGAAATCTTATGTTACTGAAATGTTTGGTGAGCTTTATTTTAGAGAAAATCCTGAGTCATCTATAAGTCACCTTTTTCCTCCAATGCCAAAACCTCCTTCTGCTAATGAAAATGCTAATAAAGCATCCATTTCAGAAGCTGAGTTTGAGAAAATTAGTATAAGTGAGAAGCTCCCAAATGGTGACATTGCTCTGCATGTGAATGAGATGCAAATAGGTATTGTTTTTTTTTTCTCTTCTTCTTAAAGGGTAAAAGGTCGAAAATACCCTTCTGCCTATAAAATTTCTTAATTTTACTCTTCGTTATACTTCAATTAGGGTCATTCATACCCTTACTGTTAGCACATCATCTCTTGCTCTTGACCTTAATGAGAGCTCCAACCCGAAGTTTAACGTAGGATCCACAATTTTAAACTATAGTTAAAAGTAGAGAGCTAAATTAGAATTCTTTTTTTTCCCAATTTTTTTTTGACACGTGAAATTAATCTGCCGAATCCACAGTACTGGAGCTTTGTTAAAATTAAAAAAACTTATAAGACGATTTGCTAACCATAAGAATATGAATGATCCCTAAGTATACAGTAGAGGCGTAGATTTGGATTTTTTTCATTTTTCTTGATAACATGTCCCTAGTAAAATGATGGAATTTTTTTGATCTTTTTCTTTTGGGTTTAGCAGGTTAATATGTGTTTGACTGTTTTATATCACTTGTTTTGATGCAGGGAAAGGGGGAGAGAAGAATCAAAAGTTTAATTAAAAGGAGGAAGAATGTGGTAGGAATGTGGCAGCTTAGAATAGTTAAAAATAAGTGGGCAAACTATAATGTAGCTGTAAAATAAATGAACTCAATGTTCTTGGTTTAATGGAGTCAATGTGATGCATGTTTGTGATGTCTTGATTAGTTAACTTGCTTATTATGAATTGGAATGAGGATGAGTTAAGTAATTGTCGATCTGTAAGATCATAACAAAAACATAGTTTTTGTTTTTCTTATAGGCTCAAATTGTTTTCTATATATATTTAAAGACTAATATTTAATTTTTCTTTTCCTTTTCCGGTTTGTAAGTTTTGAAATAAGACAAGTTTAATTTGTTACATTTTGTCAAGTAGGTAAACTACGCATATCATTGCTCACAATAGTAAAAACCAAAAAAGAAGAAGAAAAGGCAAACAGATTACAGTTTTCTCAGTGAATTTTAGGGAAATCATGACCAGCTCACAGAAGTGAAAAATACGGGGAAGCATTCAATCTTATAAATGACTCTGAAATATGAAGTTAAATTAAAAGATTAAAATAAACTTAAGAAATTAATCAGTACAAAATGCTGAAAAAGCTAGAAAATATATGTACATGCACTTATTAATTACGTAGAAAATAAGACAAATAACTTGTTACAGAAAATATAAAATTCTTTTCATTGTTAGCATATATCAGTTAAATCCAAACTAAAAAACTTTGAGCTTTGGACTAAACCTTTTGTTTCTTGCTTTTCTGTCCATATCTACCTTTGCAAAATTATGTTAGGTAGGTTGGACAAAACCATCCATTTTTATTTACTGTCGTCATCTAATTAGTGCATATATTTCTTATACGAAAAAATAGAAATTGCATAAAAACAGAAGCAACGACGTATATCATACAGACTGCTAGAAAAGAATTCCAATGTTACAAGGAAAATAAATTTTAATGGAACTAAATATTAAACTTTTCGCTGTGGTACTCCTCTTGAGGGCGACTTCACGGACTATAGGTTAGCACTTAGCCCTAGCCCGTATGAGACATGAAGAAATGATTCCCTATGATTAAAATAAAAATAGAAGAAAACAATTGTGGAAAAGTCTCATATAATTTATTTACTAATATCCTATTGAAAAGGGCATATAATTAAAATAACATTTGCAATGAACCATGTAGATTAAACCAAGACCTCGACTAGTCTACCAAATATCTCAGCCGGGTAAGTGTTTGACCAAAAAGTGTAACTTTCGGCTAAACTATTAAATTTAAGTAATACTAAATTTAACCCAGTATTACTTAAATTCTCTGCACTTGTACTATTAGGGTTACACTAGATGCAAATCTTGGAAGCGTGTGGGGGAGACAGATCCCGTAAAGAGTTGATGACAATAAATACAAAATATTCTTAAGGTATGGGCAATAAAGGAGGTGTAACTAGCAATAAATAGGAATAAATGACATTTAAGTAAATGGGGAGAATGATTCACCCAATAATGGATAAATTGGACGAATATTTCTCCTGACAGAAAGATCCAAGATTTGTTTGAACAATCCTCGGATCTGGTGGAAAGGTGTGGAATAATATGAACAAGAACTTTTATCAAAATGTAATCTTTGTATTTTTATCAGAGAGAGGGAATCTTTTTCTCAAAAGTGTTCTTATCAAATGAATATTACCCCCTTCTATCCCTTTCCTTTTTTTCTTATATCTTTGGCACATATCCCTAGCAAACCCTAATAGTACAAATGCAGAGAATATTCACTAGAATATTCTCTTTAGTATCTTATTTCGAAAACTAACCGATGCTATCCCATCAACGATGCTCGATCTCGGCCATCACTCGCTTCTTTACCGCGAACCTCGCTATCCCCTGGCCGTCCTCGACTGATTCTTTCCTTAACGATACATTTTTCTAAATATTTTAGGACAGATTTTGGCCTATACAGCTAGTCCCTCCGCTTATTGAGGCCGTCCTCAGGCGGGCTTGACGAGCGGATATTGTGTAACGTGACCGAAGTGTTTAGATGATATGAACCAGTCGTGATGATTGGGGCGAGTAGACAGCATGTCCCATTATGAGTCACAAGTTCTGGGGTTGTAACTCCCACGAATTAAGGTGACGTCATGGCGACTGATGTCATTATGACGTGATTTCTCGAGACATTGCTTTGTTTTGCGTGCATTTTCTGACTGAGTTTGCTGCTTCGGTTACAATGCCATGTAATGATGGCTAGTTCCTTGGTTTCGATGCCTGCATCCTTATAAATAGGGGTGTGTGGGTAATGTTCCCAACCTTTACGAGATCTTTTGCCCCCCAGCAAACTCTATATCTTCTTCTTCTTCTTCTTCTTCTTCTTCTTCTTCCATTATTTGAAACTTCTTTCTGGTGTTAGTGATTCTCGATACTTCTAACATTTCTATACCTGATGCATCTTCTCTCGAAAATATGGTTAACGTACCCACTGGTTCCGGCAACTGACCCTATCCCTTTGGCGGTGCGTATGCCTCCTCACGACGATAGTGATTCTGATGCCATTGAAGACGAGAACTTTCTTACGGTGGAGGAAATAATCTCTCGTAGTGAAAAAGTTAGGTCCGCCTTTTCGAAGATGCTTGAGGATGACCCTGAGGTCTCGGAATCGGCGATGAAAGAGGTCGATCTAGCTGAGCTTAGGGCAAAGTTCAAAATTCCTGCCCATATCGATCTGATCCCAACAGGGCACGATATGGTACAAATACACTGCCCCGGGTATTGCACGTTCTATGCATATCCTTTCTACGTTATCTATTCCTTTCCTCTTCTCCCACTTGCGAAGGAATTTTGCCATTATTACGGCATTTGCCTAGCCCACTCTCTCCATATATCTACAAGCTTATCCGCATGCTGACGAAATATGCAGAGTTGGCCGGAGTCGGGGTCACACTCCGCCACCTAATGCATCTCTTCGCCCTGAGTTTCTATAGGGGGACGATGTTGCACCTTCGCCATCGAGGAAGTAAATGTCTGGTGGTGAAGATGGACAACAAGGAAAATCGGTAGTTCTAGCTCAATTACTTTTTCGTCAAGACCGAGACGTGGTGGTCAACGCGCGCAGATTCCCTGAGACTTGGAATTTCGCCCGTAAGTATCCCTTCTTTTATTTTTTTCAAGAGTTTGTTCTACTTGTTTTAATCATTGTCTGACATTCCGTCTTTTCTTCGTGCATCCGAGACTAATCCCCCTCCTTTGGTCGGGGATATTCATGGCTGGGCCAGCCAAATTCTGCCTCACACAGTGGGGATTCGTGAATGGCTGGCCTTTTTCAAGAAGTTCGGGCCTGTGCCTTCTGCGACCGACGAGTTCATCT